ACTCAACAACTTAGATCTTCAACAACGTTGGCTATAATAAATAGTAGAAACACCAATTATATCTCTTCTTTTATTCCTTACCAACTTATAGTTTATTGTTTGAGCAAATGCAATTGTATGCCCCCTTAGACTATAAGCAGCAGATGTATCACCTCTCAAGTGTACAAATCCAATCTTCATGGTTGCACCACACACGTTTTCACGATTTCATATATAGTAAAAGACTGTGTTGTCATGAAAATTTTAGGATACAAAGCTTGGAATCTGATTTTGGCATAGTGATGGATCACCAAGCGGCCCATCCCATACAAGTGTATACCCGTAGGCCCAGGGTTGACAAACCGAAAGTCAATGGTCAAGAAGCGGCAATAGAAGAAAAGGGAACATCAATAGCAGGAACAACAACAAAGAGCAAGGTGACAAAATCAGTTAAGAAGAAGAGAAGGAAAGAAAGCAACCAACTTCTATTATGTTTTCTCATGGTTTTTCTATATTAGCTAAGTAGTCACATGTTTAGCCTTAAGGTCAGCTTTGACCATTAGTAATCTTAGTATAAGTATGCTAGTATGTGTAACAAGAAATCCATTAAGAAAATTAGCGTGGAAACTCTTGAGAGATTTGCAACCTAAAGTTGCTTAGGAGATTGGTAGCCTAAAGTTGCTAAACTTGTAACCTTTTGACAGAAATTATCAATCATCAGTCCATCTTCTATTTCCATTAAATGAAATTAATTATAGTAGGATTTTCTAGTCTATTACAAACTTGGTATTACAGTAGTCGATCATGGTGACATCCATGACGAGGAAAAGGTGGGCAGCGTAGATGCCAAACTTGCTGCCACTGATGGGAATCTTGCAACACAGAAGAATTCCATTAGCAAGCTGGTGTCTGAAGCCGTTAGCAAGGCTATGAAAACTGTCTAGGAAACCATACAGTAACAGATCGCCACCCTCATGGAGGCAGAGAGGAAGAAGCAAGAAGAAAACGTGGCTAGTGTCACCTGGAGGGGAGAATAGATCGCTTCCGTGAGCGTCATGAAACTCAAGCAGCCGAGGACAGAGGAGAGTAAGAGGCAGAGCTTAAGGCCATGACTGAAGGCAACCTAGCCACCAGAAGGCCATCGTACATCCACTTGGAGGCCAGCCAGGCAATGGAGAGAACAGGGTGTGAACACCGGTGAGGGAGGAGGACAACCGAGCCTTCGACCAACGCGGGTACCGAAACGGCAATGGCGGGGGCGGTTATCGAAAGTACCGGAAATTGGAGATGCTGGTCTTTGATGGTGAAGACCTCGATAATTGGATCGTGCAGGCCAAGACATACTTTGAGTTTCATAGGTTGAGGGAAGAGGGAAAGTTTGATGCTATTATTTTTGCCATGGATGGGGCGGCACTGAAGTGGTTTCAGTCGGAAAACAAATGCCAATCATTTACGCGGTGGCCTGATCTAAGACGCCAGATGCTCAACAAATTTCGGCCTTGGAACACGGGCACGCTACACGAGTAGTGGTAGACGACACTTCAGACGTCAACGGTGGAGGAGTATCGCCGACGGTTCATTGAGCTAGCTTTTCCGTTAGAAGACATACCTTTGAGCTTAATGTTAGGGCAATTCATCAAAGGCTTCTAGGAAGATATCAAGGCTGAGATGCGTATTTTAAATCCGTATGATTTAGACCAGGCCATGAATCTGGCAGGGAGGATTGAGGATAGGAATAGGGTCAGTCAAGTTAGTGGAAGTGGATTGGGCTCATTTCAAAGTGGGCCAAAACTAGGTTCCTCAAATCCCTCAAGCTCAAATGGCAAAGGTAGGAATTCTGGGTTGATTCAGACTTGTGGAATCCAAGGCCAGCCAGCCCAGCAAAAACATGGCCCGAGGCCCCACCAGAATCTTAAGGTTCAATTAATCTTGCCAAGTCTAGTGAGAGTTCTGTTCACAAGAGCAATAGTGAGACAAGGAGGCTGACAGAATCAGAGCTTCAAGAATGAAGAGCAAAAGGATTATGTTTCCATTGTGACCAGCAGTGGGGGGTGGGCCATCGATGTATGTGCAAGGAGCTCAGCGTGTTGGTGGCGGCCGAAGACGATGATGCGGAAGAAGAAAGTGCTGAAATTGCAGAGGGTGGAGCGACAGTTAAATGATTCTTGTGCGCCATGGTGGATGTATCCAACCCAAAAATCATGACACTAAAGGGAGAAGTCGAAGGTCAGGGAGTGGTGCTGACGATCGATCTGGGGCAACACACAATTTTCTTTCTATGATGGTGGTAGAAAAGGCGGCAATTCCGGTGAAGAAAAGGGACTCTTTCCGTGTGACTTTAATATAGAGCTACTGTCAAAGGAAGTGGTGTGTGTGAAGGGTTGAATGTGAAAATGGATGGCAGTGTGAGGATTGTGGAATATTTTTTTCCTTTACAATTGGGGAGTACCGGTCTAGTTTTGGGGATTCAATGGTTAAAGAAATTAGGGGTGATGAGCATCAACTGGAAGACTCAAGAAATGAGATTCACCATGGCAGGGCTGCCAATCACCCTCACTAGCGAACTGACTTTGGAGGTGACATATCGTTTCCCTAGGTTCAACCTTGAGGACAAGGTGAATCTTGAGCTGACGGGTAATGTTATGGATCACCAAACGGCCCATCCCATACAAGTGTACACCCGTAGGCCCAAGGATGACAAACGGATAGTCAATGGTCAAGAAGCGACAATCAAAGAAAAGGGAACATCAGTAGCAGGAAAGGGGTGAAACATGAGTCAACAACAGCAAAGAGTAAGGTGACAAAATCAATTAACAAAAAGAGAAGGAAAGAAAGCAACCAGCTTCTATTATGTTTTCTCATGGTTTTTCTATATTAGCTAAGTAGTCACATGTTTAGCCTTAAGGTCAGCTTTGACCATTAGTAATCTTAGTATAAGTATAATAGTATGTGTAACAAGAAATCCATCCAGAAAATTAGTGAGGAAATTCTTGAGAGATTTGCAACCTAAAGTTGCTTAGGAAATTGGCAGCGTTAAGTCGCTCAACTTGTAACCTTTTGACAGAAATTATCAATCATCAGTCCATCTTCTATTTCCATTATTAGCAATTAATTACAATAGGAGTTGCTGATGTATGACAGGCACACACCTTTGATAGATATTGGCACACCTCCATGAGATAGGAGGATTAGAAAAATGTGCTCTTAGAATGGGTGTGCAAACAATAAATTTGGTGTGCCAAAATTAATTGCTCTAAACATTCATGGACTTCAAATAGGCTGAAAATAACCACTGAAAAGATCTTGTTTCAACATTATAAATAAACCCACAACCGAATATGTTGTTATGTTCATGGTTTTCATTCTCATAAATTGATGCACATGCAAAGCTAAATTTGATTCTTGATATCAATTGGGATTGGATTAATAATAAGTAGTTTAATCAATTCCATCATTTGCAATGTAAAGCTTCTATTTTATATATTCTTAGTTCATCAGCTTAATTTCTATAACACAAATTGAATGACATTTAGAGGGAAATTTTAAAATTAAAGCCGAATTTAGGTAGAATTTTGTAGAAGAGAAAGAAAATCATATAAGCAGAAGGCAGTTAAGCTTGAGAAAGAAGGCAAAAAGAATAGCCACATACAAACAGTAAGACCTAGTACTAATGCTATAAAATAGGTTTAGTTGAGAAGTTTCAAAATACTATTTTATGGGGTAGCTCTCCCAATGCTCCGAACTCAGCTTGGAAGAACATGTTCACTCAGCAAAAGCTGGCTTGAGTGCCTCAAACCAAATCTTGGGGGGCTAGTTGTATAGGGTAGCTCCCGCAAAGCTGACCCACGCTCCAGCACACCCTAAGAAGTGTACACTCACACCGGTACGTGAGCTTGAAGTCATGGGTAATCTCCTAGGGGCTCAGCCTCATGGCTGACTCTAGCGGGCTCCAACTCGCAGCACAAAGAATAGTACCACTATAAATAGCAAGCAAAGTACAACGAAGAAGAGGTTAGAGAATCACATTTCATCACTTACCTTCCATTATTTGCATTTTCACCAAGAATTATACTAACTTAAGCATCGGAGGGGGGTTCCTCGAAACCACCCCCGAGGGCAGTAACCGCCGTTCATTGTGCAGGATAACACAGCCGAAGTCCAGAGTCAGCTGCCCACCTAGCTCCGGAACTACACCGGAACAATTGCCGCTAGAAAGAGGGGGTAGTTCCAACACGTTTGCTCAGCCGGTTAGCTTATCTTAAGCTAGGAAAACCGCCATGATGGGAGAAAAATCCGACCTGAAGACCAAACACCTACAATCAATAACACCCAAACACCATAAAATAAACCCGATTCCGCGAAATCTATCGTGAAATCAACTCCGATTAGTATCCAGAATCCAAATCCCACCGGAGCTTCTTCGGGTGTCACCAAAAGCACCGTTGGAGTTCAAAGGCCAATAGGACCACCTCAAACAATCCGATTCGGAATGCCACCCTCAAACCAAACAATGAGCTAATTACTCAAACACCACCTGGAAAATTCCCGACAGTTTAAATACCAGATGTGCTATAGAATCTGTCTTAGTGTAGTAAGGATCACTTGGCTGCCATGACAGTTGTGCTGAACTCATTAGAGAAAGGATCCAGCTCCACTCGGCCGCTGGCACCTGCTGGTCAGCCCTCTGACAGGTCACCTGCGCTCAATCTGACCCTAGAGTAGAAAGTGCCGGCAGCCCTGCATAAGAAGGTGAAGGAGCTGGAGGACAAAAAATTGAACAGAGAATGGAGTATAGAGGAATTGGGAGAGGTTCCATTTGGGAACATTCGTAGCAGATCTCCAACACATAGCCGATCTTTGAGTTTAGAGCAGTCAAAGAAGGCAAATTTATGGTGATCCCTGAGGACTCACCCTTCTATAAGGAAATTCTAGAGGATCCAATGGAGAAATTTAAAATTCCCTCATGTTAGTACAGCGGCACCACAACTCCAAAGAACCATCTGTCTACCTTTGAGAGCCACATGGTCCTATACACTAGAACTGATTTAGTATGGTGCAAAGCCTTTCTTCCTACCATAGAAGGGCTGGCAGTAGAGTGGTATCGCTTGCTGGATAAAGGGTCAGTTTACTCTTACAATGGTTTGAAGAGATTGTTCATGGACTACTTCGTCACACTAGTGGATAGCACTAAAATGACAACAGAGCTAATGTCACTGGAGCAGGGAGAGACAGAATCTCTTAGAGACTTCATTACTTGGTTCAACAAGGAGGAAACCTCAATCCCCAATATGAGCCAAGAAGTGGCCTTGTTGGTAATGCAGAGTGGCTTATTGCCAAGGTTAGCCTTCAGAGAATACATGGGTAGAAAGAACTTGAAAACCCTGGCTGAAGCACTGGGTAAAGCTCATGAGTTCATTGAAGGGGGTGAGATAGACAGAGCAATGTTGGCTAGAAGGTCGATCTCTGCCAAATTAGGCAGAAAGCCAGAGTCGAGTCGTGTAGAGGTAGCAGGCAGGACGGACTCAAATTCTAGCGGAAATGGAAGGGTGGACTTGTTGGAGAATTTAGAGTATTTAGTTGATTATATTCATGTTATGTTAAGTTTAAGTCATTTGGTTAAGGTGTCATGACTTACACAACATATGATTAAGATAGTGGTATACAACTAATCAAGAGAAATGAAAGAAAGTGGTTGATTCGTCACTATTGTTGCAACCATTACTACTTACGGTTTCGATTTTTATTTTCTATTGTTCTAGTTTGGAAGTTACTTAATGTATTATAACTTAATGTATGTATTAATGAATTTTTAATGCATTGTTTAATGCATGTCTTAATGCATTGTTAATGCATTGTTTAATGCATTGTTTAATGCATCTCTTAACGTTTGATGACTTAACGCATTATTTATTGAATGCATAGTTTTGGTTTTGATAATTAATGCATTGTTTCACATACTACTATCTTATATATATGAGACTCCTCATATGATGAAGGTTGAGAGATGAAATATAATTTTTATCTTATCACTGTGGCATAGAAAGTTAAATCAGTTGTTCATTTTCACAAAATTACAAACACTTTTATACATTGAATTGCAATAATCCTACAAGTTATTGTAATTGTTCTTCGTCGTATCTCCAGAGTAATTTCCGTGCTACCCGGTTGTAGTATAGGGTCGGAATTATACTTTTGGGAAAGTGATCCCGTTCACGCCTCGAAGATTTTTCCAATAACTTCATTTCCATTTCGTTGTGACCCTTGTTTACTAGAAAATTCCGAATAGTCCAAAAGTATAATCCACTACAAAGATGGCAAATGTGAAGGAAATGATGACTAATTTCCAGAAATTGGACAAGTTCGAGAGTGTGGATTTTCGAAGGTGGAAAAATAAAATGCATTTTCTGTTGACATTGCTCGGTGTGGCTTATGTTCTCACATTCCCGAAGCCACCTGAGGAGGAAAACGAGACATTGGAGGCTACTAGAAAGTGGAACAAGTGGGAGAATGATGACTACATATGTCGTGGTCACATCCTTAACGACATGTCTAATGAATTGTTTGGTGTTTATCAATTTCATGAGTCCGCTAAATTGCTTTGGGATGAATTAAAGTATAAGTAATGGTTGAGGATGCATCTAGCAAGAAATTTCTTGTTAGTAAGTTCAATAATTTCAAGATGATTGATAGTAGGCCGGTTATGGAACAATTTCATGAAATCCAAAGAGTTTTATGGAGTTTTAGGCAACATAATATCAATCTTGATGAGACCTTTATTGTTTCTTCTATAATGATAAACTACCATCATCTTGGAAAAGATTTTAGAAATGTATTAAAGCATAAGAAAGATGATATGAATCTTGAGGGCTTGGCTTCTCACATTCGGATTGAGGAGGACATCCGAGTGCAAGAGGGACAAAAGGATGTTAATCCTAGTTCTACCACGGTGAATGTGGTGGAGGATGCTAAGTCTTATGAGAGGAAGAGAGGAAATGACTCAAACAAAAACAAAGGCAAAAATCCTAAAGTGAGAAGTGATGGTCAAAATTCACGAGCTTGTTGGGTTTGTGGAAAACCCGGACATTTTAAGAAAGATTGTACCATTTGGAAGAAAAAGATGAGCAACAAGAAAGCTCAAGGCAGGAAAGGCGGGTTAAGCCAATCCCAAGACAAGCAAGGTAATACTTATACACAAATTTCATTTAATTCTTTAATGAGTTATTTGTGTGTGATTTCTGAAATCCTATGTGTACAAGGTGATACTTCTAGGTACATCAATTTAGGAGCATCGAGGCATGTTTGTAAGGATCGTTCGTTGTTTAAATCCTTTGTTGAGGTGACCAATGGAGAGATTCTTTACATGAGGAAGATTCCACCGAAAAAGTACTTGGCAAGGGACAAGTAGAGTTAATGTTTAGCTCTGGTAAATCTCTTATTTTAAGGGATGTGTTGTATCCTCCCGAACTTAGGAGGAATCTAGTTTCTGATGCTATCTTGAATCGTTTAGGATTTAAAATGGTGTTTGAGTCGGATAAACTTATAATGTCTAAAGGTGGTTTATTTGTAGGACTTGGTTACTTATGTGATGGAATGTTTAAACTTAGTATTTCTAATACTTTAAAAGAAAATTTGTATGTTGTTAATGATTGCTCTTCTCTATGGCATGTAAGACTTGGACATATTAATTATAAAAAGTTATATTTTATGTCAAAGCATGATTTAATTCCATATTTTGATCCAAGGATTAGAGAAGTCTAGGACATGCATGTTAACAAAAATCACAAGGAAACCATTTCCTAATGTTGTAGAAAAGAATAATGTATTGCTTGATTTAGTGCATAGTGATCTATGTGATTTTCATAGCACACCTTCCTTAGGCAACAAAAAGTATTTAGCAACTTTCATTGATGATTTTTCAAGATTTTTCTATCTTTATTTATTTCATTCTAAGGATGAAGCCCTTGACAAATTTAAAATCTACAAGAATAAAGTAGAATTGCAAACAAACGGTAAAATTAAAAGATTAAGAACCGATAAAGGCGGTGAATACTATAATCCAATTTATTTCCAATCAATAGGAATAGTACATGAAACTACCGCGGAATATACACCAAAAAAAATGGTGTAGTGAAAAGGAAGAATAGGACTCTTGATGAAATGGTTAATTCCATGTTGTCCTATTCGAGATTGAGTGATGGATTTTGAGGAAAGCGGTATTAACCGCTTTTTACATTTTAAACCGAGTTTCAATGAAAAGGAATGAGGTAACCCCATATGAGCTATGGTATAAAAGGAAACCAAACTTGAGTCATCTCAAAGTTTGGGGTTGTAGGGCAATTGTAAAAGTGTCGGAACCTATACGTAAAAAGTTAGGTGAAAGAGCAGTGGAATGCATTTTTATAGGATATGCGGAACATAGCAAATCCTATAGGTTCTATGTGATTAAACAAAATGACTATTGGTCGGTTCATACCACCATTGAGTCTAGAGATGCATTGTTTAATGAAAATCGATATTCATCAATTCCTAGACCAAATGATATAACTCCAAATACCGATGCTAAAAGTTTTGACCAAATTGAATTTGATCAAGAGATAGATTACCAAAATCATTTAGAGGAGGCATCAACATCATAATCTCAACCTAGGAGAAGTAAGAGGGCAAGGAAAGGAAAATCTTTTGGCCCGAACTTTCATGCGTACTCAGTTGAGGGATCAAGGAATTCTGTTACGACACAATTTCCATACATTTTTAATGTGGAAGATGATCCTTTGACCTATGATGAGGCTATGAGATCTCGTGATGCTCCATTTCGGAAGGAAGCTATTAATGATGAGATAGAATCTATCATGGGAAACAATACTTGGGTGTTAGCTAATTTTCCACCAAAATGTAAACCAATAGGGTGCAAATGGATCTTCAAAAAGAAATTGAGGATTGATGGAACGGTGGAAAAGTTCAAAGCCCAATTAGTGGCACAAGGTTTTACACATAAGCTTGGTATCGATAATTTTTAAACATATGCACCAGTTGCTACAATCTCAACTGTAAGGTTGTTAATTGCACTTGCGACATTCCACAATCTTGTGATCCATCAAATGGATGTCATGACAGGGTTCTTGAATGGAAATCTAGAGGAAGAAGTTTACATGCGACAACCGGAAGGGTTTGTTGTGGAAGGTCAAGAAGGAAAAGTTTGTAAGTTGATTAAATCTTTGTATGGGCTAAAACAAGCACCTAAGCAATGACATTAAAAGTTTGATGAGGTTGTGTTGTCTAATGGTTTCAAGTTGAACAACTCAGACAAGTGTATTTATAGCAAATTTGATGACAACGGTCAAGGTGTCATAATTTGTCTATATGTAGATGACGTGTTGATCTTTGGAACGGATTTGTCACAAGTTGAAATGACAAAGTCTTTCATTAGTTCAAAGTTTTCTATGAAAGACATGGGAGAAGCGGATGTCATCTTGGGCATAGGGATAAAGAGGAAAATAGAAAAATTGATCTTGTCACAATCTCATTATATTGAGAAAGTGCTCAAGAAATTCAATGTCAGTGATGATTCGACCTCTCTTTATTCAACACCTATGGATCCTAGCATAAAGTTGATTCCTAATGAAGGTAATGCAGTTTCACAACTTGAATATGCTAAAGTAATAGGTTGTTTGATGTATTCCATGACAAGTACTAGGCTGGATATTGATTATGTAGTTGGTCAACTAAGTAGGTACATTAGTAATCCTAGTATGCTACATTGGAAAGCGGTTCGACGCTTGTTAAAGTGCTTGAAGAAAACCACGGATTATGGTTTGTCTTATAGTGGATATCTTTCGATTGTAGAAGGTTATTCGGAGCAAGTTGGATCTCTAGTAAAGATCATTCGTCCACAAGTGGATGGGTATTTCTATATGGAGGAGGTGCTATTTCATGGGCTTCTAAAAAGCAAACTTGCATTGCGGACTTCACAATGACATCGAAGTTCATTGCTTTGCATTCGGATGGTAAAGAAGCCCAATGGTTGAAGGATCTCATGTTTGAGATTCCTTTGTTGCCAAAACCAATTTCACCAATAGTGATACATTGTGATAATAATGATACCTTGGCAAGGGCTTATAGCCAAGTTTATAATGGTAAGTCAAGACACATTGGAGCACGACATAGTTACATCCAAGGACTTATTAAGGATAGTGTGATCACTATTGATTATGTTCGAACAAATCTTAATCTCGCCGATTATTTCACAAAGGCATTGGAAAGAGATGTTATCAATAGGATGTCAATCGGTTTAGGATTGGAGCCCTAAATAATTGCAAATGAGGGAGTCTTAACTTAACGCCCAATAAGACGTTGGGTCTTAAGTTCAATAAGATTAACTTTCTCATTTGCTAATTGGGAATGTGTTTATTCATCTAAGGTAAAGTTCCAGATTTTCTGTGATGTATAAGAGGTTATTTAACTTAATAGAATTCCTAATATTGTGCTTTGTCACAGGAGCATGTTTTGGAAATCTACCTATATAAGTATGAGGTTTAGCTGCTTCAAGAAGTTATTATGGGCATAACTTCGATATGGACACATGGCTTAAGTGTCAAGTTAATATGTATTTAAGTATTTAATCTTCTGTGTG